AACTGACATGGAGCAGATGAAGAACTAAGGGTGGACAAAAGGGACTGCAAGACCCAATGCCCTTGCTGCAGCAGGACAGTCGACACTTACCCACCCAGACCCCAACTCCACTGTGGCCCTCCTCTTGCAATGTGACCAAAGTGGAGTCTAGCAAAGGCCCACTCCATCTGGCCACCACCTTCCAGTGTGAGACCTTCCATTCTGAGCACACTGGTCTCACACTGGAAGGTGGTCAGCAAGCTACAGCCCAGGGAGCCCAATACAACCTACCACTTATTCTTTTTTTTTTTTAATCCTTTTTTTTTTTTTGTAGTTGTAGATGGACAGGATGCCTTTACTTTATTTATTTATATGTGGTGCTGAGGATCGAACCCAGTGCCTCATGCATGCTAGGCAAGCGCTCTACCACTGAGCCCCAGCCCCAGCCCCAAACTACCATTTATTCTTAAAAGGCACAGAAACTAAGAATAGCTTTTATACTTTTAAATTACCAAAAAATAAAAATAATATTCATGCTCTGAATTATATCCAATCCGAATGTCTGGGTCCATCCATAAAGCTTTATTGGAAAACCGTTCCCCATGCGGACTCCAGGGATGATGTCTTCTGCGCGCTGGGATAGCAGAGCCCAGTAGCTGTGATGTGAAACTGTAGGGCTCCCGAAGCCTAAAATATTTTTATTTTTTATTTTTTATTTTTTTGGCTTTCTACAGAAAAAAATCTGCCACCCCCCCACTGCAGACTGTCATTAGACAAAACTTGAATGAGGTTTTGGCACCCCAAAACCTTTGAAGTCTTCTATCTCCTCTCAAAGGGATGAAATTGGTTGGTCTAACTCCCCCGTCCTCCCAAGAGTTAGAGACCCAAATCCATCGCCTATCACACGCCATCAGGTACCCTCCATTCTGAGCACACTGGTCTCTAAGCTTCACGACGGAGGGAGGCAGGAGGATACCTTTATCGGGTTTACCGTTCCTTCGTGTCCAGCAAGCCCTCCCCTCTGCTGCCATCTCAACCCTTCCCATCCTTCCTTCCACTCCAAAACCCCATCCCCCAACCAAGAAGGCCTTCATAAAGGCTTTGCCAGATGTTACCCCAGGTATATCCTGTGGGAGAAAATTCCTGAGGGAAATCCTTGGAAAAGGAAAACATAGCAGGCTCATCCTCACTTGGACGCACGACGCACATATAAGGCACATTAAAGGCTCTGAGAAGTCCCGCAGTGAAGATGTCTATTTCTCTCTGCTTAACTCAACCTTTCCCCAACCTTTCAGTCACTCAACCAGTTTTGTCCACAGAACATTTGTTGACTACCAGCCTCCGAGGCAGTCCCTGGAAGGTAGCATGTATTAAAGAATGAAAAATGCTAGCATTCCACAGAATTAGGGTTCTCCAGAATCTACTTTGGAAATGCTAGCCAAATGCCTTCTCTTCTGTTCTCAGTTGTCCTCGTCCATGTCATCTGTCCTACACCACGTCACGCTCTCCATCATCATCCCCACGGTCACTGTTTATATAATACTTGCGGGCACCAGGTTCAAGGCAGTGCTAGAAAGTACTCAGAAGTACTCTTAATCCTTGCAACCACTCCCCGAGGAACAGGATGTCATTCTGTGATGGCCATTTTGCCCAAAATGTTAAACTGTGCATCAAAATGTTTAAATTAGTAGCCTAAGATTTTAAAAAGCAGGAAGGCTACACAAAGCTCTAACCACAAAGCTCACGAATTTTCTTTCGTACCATGGACATTCTGGGTCAGCACTGCTGGCTGTCCACACGACGGCCATTCACACCCTCTCCTGTGCCCCACAGAACCTGATACTGTGTGGAGTCGAGGCAGGCGACCCCAGGCAACGGCCCGTGATGGTGTTCCCACTTTCCTACTCCCGGCCTCCCCTGCAGCTAGGGCTGGCCATTTGGCCCCATGCTGGCTGAGAAGACATAGCCAAGCATCCCCCGTGAGGGGGGGAAAAGCTGACCCGGGGAAGTCTTGATTTCCTGAAACCAGAAGGATAATAAGCCTGACACCCTGCCATACTCCGTGGGTCCTCCTCCTTCCTGCCATGAACCCAGATCTGACAGCTGAAAGCACAGAAGTCATCTGGCCACCCTAGGGGAAAGGCCATGGGAATCCCCAAAGACATCAACCCCATTGAGCCCACACCAGCAGGCCATCTCCCCAGGCCTCTTCTAAAAGAGGGAAAAAAACGACATGCTTCCCCATGTTGTTGGGCTTTCCGTTCCATGAAGCCAAACACGCTCGTGGTGGGCCCACGCGCTGTCTCTCCTATCAACTGCCTCTTAGACTTCCTGGTCATTTCACAGAGATACGAGTCGCCTTGCCTCCCTCCCCACAAAGCGGGCTTCCTGAAGGCCAAGTCCATTCCACAGGAGTGTGTACATGTTACTAGATGCTGCTCATTATCAAGGTTTCCAGGGATGATCTATTCAGTTTCTTACTAACTTCCACGTCCGTGAGCAGGCAGTTTTTGCCATTAAATAGCAGAAACATGGCATCTATCTCCTAATGAAATAGGATTTATTAAACACTGAAATGCAGCCGGGTGCCATGGTGAACACCTGTCATCCCAGCAGCTCGGGAGGCGGAGGCAGGAGGATGGAGAGTTCAAAGCCAGCCTCAGCAACAGTGAGGCGCTTCAGCAACTCAGTGAGCCCCTGTCTCTAAATAAAATACAAAATAGGGCTGGGGATTGGCTCAGTAGTCAAGTGCCCCTGCATTCGATCCCCAGTACCACCATCACCCCCCTCACAAAAAGATAAAAAGTGATATGCAGAAATACTGTTCATTAAATGCAGATACCTGGGCCCACTCTCCTTTCCAACTAGAACTAGGATCTCCAGGGTTACCTGCTATGGATCCGCAGTTAATAAGTATCTTTGCATGACTTTGATATATGAAATTTGACATATGCTGGAGTAGAAAACTCTGTGGATCCATAAGTGAGGTTTGGTAGGACTTGATCCCCCGTCATCAGCCCCCCAAACCCCCACACCCACCCACCAGCCCTAGAGAACTAAGAAGTCTAAATTGGCATAATTGCCCCAGAACAGTCCCTGGGCATGGTGGATAAAGTGGTTGACATGCTCAGTGATGTCCTGGGACCAGGAAACTACAAACAGATGCATTCCCTATAACTGCAAGCTCCCATCACCACCACACAAATGCCTCCATCCCCCAGCTGACAAGAAAGACCTCTCTGCAGGCCGGAAGCCGTGGAACCCAGTGCCCACCTCAACAATCACCACTGTGCAGGGAGTTACCAGAGGAGAGAGCACACTTAAAGAGAAAAAACTCTGGAGAAACTTATGCAGTAAGATGAAAATAAACTTGTGGGACTCCTGACTTCAGAGGAACAGATGAGACCTCAGGTGGCCTTCGGGGGCTATTGATTATTTACTGCATGCAATTCTGAACAGAATCTGCTCTGGGGCACTGTTGAGACAGAGCCTGGGCCAAAGCATCCCACACTTTCTTTTCCAGTAGCCAAGCCTTCTCTCTGGGGCTCTGAGAAAGGCAATACCTGAGCCTGGCTACACACTCCCCACTCCCCCAATATCCCTTGACATTTATCTTATTTCGTTTCTGAGGATCATGTTCCCAGATGACAGGTGCACGTAGACATGTGTCCTGGGGTAGCAAACATTACATTAAAACACACAGTCCTCTTTCGAAAGGATGACCTCCTGCAGGTGAACATCCAGCCAAATTTAAAACCATGAAAGCAAAAACCACCACCACAACAACAAAAAACTCACATTGAATTAGAGAGGACCCCTCACCCAGGCTAGAAGATCAGTAAGGACCCCAGAGTTCAGGCCTTAGTAACACACGGAGAGGCTCCCAGGTGCAGCACACACCCACCCCATCAAAGGGGTACCCCACAGCCACCATCCTCAGCCCATGTCAGGAGTTCCCAAATTTAATCAAGTCACACGTACAATGGGCCATTTTGAGGGAAGGAAGTGAGCCAAATCTTTTTTGAATCATTTTCAACATTGTGGATGCCCAAAGATTTCATGGAAACCCAGGCTTTTTTTTTTTTTTTTTTTTTTTTTTTTTTTGACTCCTGAAACCTTCTTCTGACCAAATGGCCTTCAGTGGGGGAGGGAGATTTTTTTTTTCTGCCATCTTCTTTGTAACTTTGCATCCCTCTCCTCCCCCATCCCATCCCTCAAAAAACTGCTTCAAACTCCCCCTCAAGTTCAGTTGGAAAGAATGTTACAACATGCCAAAGATAACTCCGCCTCCCGGACCCCTTTCACGCAGTCCCACCGAGATGGAAGAGTATTTTCCCACGCCACCTGTGCGTTCGGGTCCAGGGATTATTTTCTGTTTTACACATTGAAGGCCTGCAACAGCTCACTGCATCACAATGATCGTATTGGAAATGGATAGGTCGGTGGGGATTTATGTTTTTCCTGCATTTTGCTTCCTAACAGGAATATCACCGAGGAAATAAAAAATCTACGAAGCAAAAAGAGGCAGGAAAGGAGGCGAGGAGAAGAAGTCTAGATGTAGAGGCAGCCCCATTCTGTGAGCCCAAACCACCTTTTGACCACCTGCAGAATGCGCAAGGTCACGTGGGTTCTCTGCAGCTCCTTAACATATTACCCAGCACACAAGCCCCCGTGGCATATAAACAAATCCAGAAGCGGAAAAAAAGACAGAACTCCCTCCTCCAAGAGGAGGCAAATGATCATGGAACAGCCGCAACCGTAATAATAAATAACGAATAACAATTACTACTGCTACTACCACCACCCAGCCAAGCACACACAACAGCCGCACAGCGAGGGGACCTCCGGCGCAGGTTTGCAAGATAAATCACAGAACACCAATCTTGCCCACCTGGCCGACCCATCCCTCCCAACCCCCAATAAACACAATCAGAGGGGAAAGGGATGGTGGGAAGAAGAGGGGAAAGGCAGGATCGCTCCCACCCCACCCCCCCACCCCCCGCCCCGTAGGCAACACCTACCTCCAGGGTCCGGATTTCTTTTTGTGTGAGGTCGTTGGAGGTAGCACATTTGGTCCTAAGCCCTTCCAGGTTGGAGATGCTCAAGTCTATCATGTTTTGTACCAACTCGCACTGCTGTAAGGCTTTTTGCAAACTCAGAGGTTGCTGCTCCTCGCTTTTCGTCATGTTTTCCTCATCCATCGCTTGCTCTGCAAAACCCCTTCCCCTCCTCCTCCTCCCAGAGAGAAAAAAGGGGGGAGGGAGTAGAGGCAGAGGCAGTCTACCCCCTACGCCTCTCCAACCACTGCGACTTCTCGACAATGTCTCATGAAGAAGAAACCCAACATCTCACACAGGGTTGAGGGGGTGGGGGTAGGAGGAGGGGACAAGAGACAAAATTTATTATTTTATTTTTTTGGTGGTGGTGGTGGGGGGGGTATCAGGCAGTCTCCATTAGAATGTCTCCTCTTTCTGAGTCTCTAGTCCCTGAAAAGGAGAGATGCCTTTTCTCAGAAGCAACCAGGTGATGTGATGCTGTCTATGCACTTGGGGAGGAGGAGGAAAAAGAGGAGGAGAAGGAGAAAGAGGAGGAGGGAGAAGAGGAGGAGGAGGAGGAGGAAAATAGCGCTCACTCTTTACACACCGGCTCCGTGAAGGACAAAATTATATATTTTTGGCTGGCTGGCTTTTATGTCAAAAAAAAGCGAGTTTGCCCCCCTCCCCGTTGCAGTGACACGGCATGGTCCACGGTTCCGAGTGCTTTAGCGCGTTCTCAAGATGCCGTCTGCACTGCTCCCGCGGCTGCGGCGGCTACTGCGGCTGGCTGCTGTCTCC